TAGTCTATCTACGCTGACAGAAAGTAGAAAAGGGAAGGAGGTACAGAATACAGGACGAACTTGGATGAGATGTTCTACCTTATCAGTTGTGCTCTCAAACCCTGACCCCTTCCGGCCATTTTAACTGATATTTTTTCGTGCATCAGATCAATTTCAATCAGATTCGATGATCACGATTAATTTTAGGCCGAGTTGATAATTTATCGATCTTCAGCCCTGAATTTCTAATTTCCTTTTGGGATTGGTCAGTTATGAGATATTATCAGGTCATCAACAGAACTTTATTTTTAGTCGGATTTATGATCAAATGGAATAAAAAGGAATTTCAAGAAAGAAGCTTATTCATTTTTTTCGGAAATAAATGCTTTTCGAATACTATGCTTTTAAAAGTACGAAAATCTATCGATACTCAGTTGTAATGCTCTTGTTTTGCAGTTGGTCCTCTGCGATTGTCCCGGTCTTGTTATGCCTTCCTTTGCATTTGGAAGAAACGAGATGTTTCTCAATGGTTAGTTTCTGGAACTTTCAACAATTTTATGCCCATTGTGCGGTATTTTATGTAATTTCTAAATTGAGTAACCATTTAGGCATACTTCCGGTGGATCAGATGCGAGAACACTTTGGGCCGACTACCTTGTTGTTGTCACGCATACCTGTGTCGTTTTTTGAGCACACATATTCTGTCATGTTACCAGAAAATTCGGAGCCATCTGCTTTGAACCTCCTGACATCCATAGCATTCATGCGTGGATTCATGTCCGCTTCAGGGATTCCCGACTGTTCGCGAGCAGCTCGATACGTTATAAAAGACGTTGTTTGTGGCCGGTTACGTTGGGTAGCTCCTCCTCCTGGCATAGATCAGAAGGAGTTCAACAGTCGTCTCTACTCGGTGACTGCATCAAGCTCCGGACGTGTACAACTCGAACAACTAGAGAAGCGAGGCCTGCTTGAGGGCGCTGGCGTACTCAACAAAAAAGTTGACTCTCAATTCTTCAATGAGGTGCAGGGAGCTGCTCACACCCGCAGTGCTAAAACAAATTCAACCGTTCTAAATGTTGGTTCTGTAGTGCCAAATGCGGGTGAGAAAGGAGATAAACATCATCACAACAAGAATAAGAAGGAAAAGCTTCGGAGGATATATACGTCTACATATTGATATGTACAGATAAAGAATTTATATGTAAATTGTGCATTTTATACGAATGGAGTATCCATCTGCATGTCTTTCCATTGTTGACGAACATTTGTATTTTTAGCTGGATTTCAGTCTATTCAGGATCATCATGGGGAAAATAATGAAGCCGGGCAAGGTTGTCCTTGTCCTACGCGGTAAATATGCCGGTAGGAAAGCACTTGTTGTAAAAGCTCAGGATGAAGGAGGTGCCGATAGATCATATCCCCATGCCATCATAGCTGGAATTGATAAGTACCCATTGAAGGTATCATTTTCGCCTTTTCTGTTCCAACATTATGTTTTCACATTTTCTGTGTTAAGGTCACAAAAAGCATGGGCAAAAAGAAACAGGAGAAGCGCAATAAGTTGAAGCCCTTCGTGAAAGTCGTATCGTACAGTCACCTTCTCCCCACGAGATATTCAGTTGATGTAGCTTTTGACAAGGCCAACATTAATAAGGTAAGGAAGAGTTCCTTTCGATTTTTATTTCTAGCTGTTATTATAACAGCATCATTTAGGAATCACTGAAGATCCCTAAGAAGAAGAGGTGCGCCTTAGCAGAGATCAAGTCTAAGTTCGAGGAACGATACAAGACTGGAAAGAACAAATGGTTTTTCACGAAGTTGCGCTTCTAAGTGTTGTTTCGTTGTTGTTTATAAAGTTGTTTGTTTATGTGCATATACCCACTGCTAAATGTCGGTATTCTTCGCTAGTATTTGCAGACGTAACAACAGTACTTTGACTACGGACCTGGAAGATATCAAAAACACTAAAAAATAACACAAAAATAAAAGAATGTGCTGAAAGTGATATTTCATAGGTGAAGGACCGTCATGCCCCTCACATCTTCCGATTCTAGGGAGAATAATTGGTCTTTTTTATCGCTAGTGGAAAACTGTGGCTTACCACCTTCCCAGCGAGGGGACGTGTCGCAGGCATTGTATTTAAATGTATTGGTGTCAATCGGATTTGACCCTACGATCATGATAGTTCGAGAAGTACCATAACAAAAAAATGACGAAATCGTCGATGCTATTTTTGCCTCGCATTTTTTTCTGTTTCGGCCATTGAGCCTCTTCTCATCGTCGCTTATGTCCTCTTGCAGCTCTTTCTGTCTTTGGGCTAAATCCATATCTCTCACATCGCTCACCTATTATATGATTCATTCAAAAGTAGCTAGCTGAATCGAGGCTCATATCTGTGCTAGGAGGTGGAGCGGGATCTGGCCGGGAGAAAGGGACAAAGATCAATCTTGACAAATCTTCAACCTCGCCTGCATAGACAAATTCGTGCCTTCTTATGGAAAATAGGGCAAGCAGGCGTTCCTGAACGTTATCTCGAAGCATGATCGAGCATGATATTGCTTTCATATAGTGTAGAGATATAAACGGACATTGTGAATCATATGTAGATCTGTTCCACTTGAAGGTGTGTTCTTTCGGATAAATCATTGGTAAACAAACTGATCAGTGCTATTATATATTGGTTATTGCGAAGAAGGCGTCGTGGAATGAGACACCGCATCACAGTTTGGAGAAAGGGACGAGCCTGAACAGGCTGAGCATTCTCCCCCTCAAGCGGGCTTGTATTGATATTTTGCCTTTGGAATAGTAAAAAAAAAAAAGGAGGTTGCATGGTTGGCGCCTATAATGCATTGCTAGGCTAGGATACAACAAAGATTTTCTTATATTTAAAAGAGAATCTGATTGAGTCAAATAGCCATCGGTTCACCGCGCCTTTGAATATTAGGAGGCCTTAGGGGTGGATTGCGTATCAACTTCTCATTGACCTTCATTTTGTCTGTCACCTTGTTCCGTTCACTCTATTTATTCCAATCGCTTTCCGAATCTCTTTTTCCGATCACTCCTCTTCACAGTTTTACAAAGAGTCGACTGTCGTTATTGTGTATTTTCCGGGGAATTTGCGGCTTTCCTGTTAGAGATGGGGTCAACGCAACCTCCTCCACACATTGTGTGGAAGTCTCCTACACGGGATCCGCCCTTTCCTCTCCGCACGAGTGTTCTTTGGCCTAATTCTAATGTATTATGCTTCATCTCAGGACCTTTTCAGTTTTTTGTTCCTTTCCTGCATATTTGCTTCTAATTTCTTTGTCCTTCTGTCGACCCGCTCCCGCCGTTCTTGTTCTTCTTCCTAGTTCCCTTAATCCATCGACGACGGCATGACGCCGGTTGCGGCGTCAATTCCAAGCCATCCCTGCTTCCTCGAGGTTTGCGGAAATTCATCAAATGGCTTGGTATTCATTCTTATGGATCACGCATACTTAACTGGAAGTGAAATGTTAACGACATTGTTCACCGTTCGATAGTCAATATGCCTTCACTTCGAGCAGACTTTTTTAAGCGTTAGTAGGTGCAGTCGCTTTTCTCCGCTTTCTTCGTATTTTCATGACAGTTTTGTAAAGTAATAAGAAAGGTACGCTTGCGCGCTATTGCTGGTGGGGGGGGGACATTCGAGCGCCGTGATAGGTTGAGTACTTAAGCGCGCACGAGAGTAGTAAAGCCGGGACATAAAACGCAATCGCACCTCACTTGCTTTTCATAATCCCGTCCCTGAAAGCTTAATCCGTACAAATAATAGTCTCACTTGGTGTTCACCCCCCCCCCCGAGACATGCGAGACATGAGCACCAAAAAAGTAGTAGAAAATGCAAATCTACGCGAACAGCAATTATATGTTCTTCTTGGCACAACCGCGTTGTAAAATAGTGGGATGACTGCTGAGCAACAAGAGCGGATTGCAGTCGTTAGAGGAGTACTCAGTGCTGTACGGGGAACCATTATGAATTCATCTGCAGTAGCGGCACTGCTAAACCAGTGCATAGTGGCGTAACTGAGAAGAAATTTCGGACTTAACTCGCCCTCCACTCTTGTGATTACCGGTAAATGTAAGTGGGGTTCTTTGGCTAAGTTAGTACGTCCCATGAGAGCGGATACCTTTACCGACTGAAACCCTGAAACTTCCAGGTCTGAAGGTTATCAAGCAGTTGTCTTGAGATGGGGGGGGGGGGAGAGTTCGCCTCAACAGCAGCTGGACCAAATCGGGAACAGACGGCCTTTCTGGTACAGAACTGTCTTCAAGCCGTAGTTCCCTAGGCAAAAAAATCGAAACAGTTCAGTACGGCATAATAAGCAACTTGTACGGTGAAGCGAGGCGAACATGTATCTCTTCTTCTCTAATGTCAGAATTAAAAGCAACTAAGCTAGACACAAATCGGTTATGGTTTACTTCAAACTCTCGAAGACCACATGAAAAGATCTAGAAACCTCTTCAGAAAGTTCTGATACAAAATCCTAAAAATGCGCTCGAACTTTCGGCGCAGTCTAGTAAGACCCCTTAGCGACAGATCGAAGGTAGCACAGATACTGTCAGTACTTCGCCACAAATCCACAAGTTTGGTCCAAGGCCAGTTAATCCCCGTACACTTCCATCCCTAGGTTGGGCAGTTTGTAGCAGCTCAAATCACTGAAGTGAACATTGACGAGCTCGACGTCTATACGTAGACTGATATTGAGTCGTTATTAATGCTCGCTACTTTGACTGTAGGGATAAAGGTAAAGGATAAAGCATTTGCCGTTGATCAATCCCTTTTTGGGATGCGGCACGCATTCTACTTCCATTTGTACATTCGTAGTGGCGTTTGAATGCGATGTGGCCTATACAATGACTTGCGGGGGCCAGCCGATGTACAAGTCAGTGTTTTTATCCTCCCAGACAAGTCTGGTACCAATTAACCGACCCCGGAGGGATGGAAGGCTTGGTTGGCCCGGGCGACTCACGACCCAGGATTTGATCCCCGGACCGCTCGCGTGGTAAGCGTGCCACTTGCCACTACACCACTTCCGCCCTAATAATTACTGACTGCAGGGATCTCACCTTTTTATACAGCAGTTGTATTTTGCGAAGTATGTATTATTATTATCCTGTCATGAGCCACGGTAGAGCCCTGATACTGGCACTAACTCGACTTTGTTTTCCTGCACAGATGCCGTCCCCTGACTTACAGCGCTATCGAGACTATACTTGTACAACCTCTGTTTCAAAGTTCGTTTTCAGAGAAATTCCCTCTCACAGTCTTTCGACATTTTCTTGGTTCTTGAACTGCTGAACTTTTTGAGAATGTGAGCGAAGCCGCACAAGGTGTGGAAGTCACATGGGAAGTGTTCCTTGTAGTGCGATAGATAAGAAAGCCGTTTCACATGCGGGCTTCTCTTCCTTCTTGACAGTGTGATTGCATTCGTGAAGAGGCAAATGAGAAGTATAGTCATGCTGTGAAGGGGGAGGAGAGAGGGCTGGTGGAGAATCGCATAGCCGGTAAACTTCTGAACTCATTTCAGTAATGGCTCGGCGAGGGTGGTAAGTAGAAGAAGGCTGCTTTCTTCTTGTTCTCATCGGCGTTGTTCAGTGGAGCTTCGACCATTATCGAATCGCAGTGTGCGTTTGGTGGAATGGGTTCTGTTACTAGTCATCTGCTAGTACACTGTAAGAGGCGACCTGCTTAAAGTAGCCACATCTGATCCAGCTTACTGAAAGGTTCGGCAATTGGAAAAGTATTTGGAAAGTAAGTAATAAGTATTGGTCACACATCGCTTTGAAAGTGTATAAGTCGACACAATACCGAGCTTGCCCCAGTCCATTGCCAAATAGAGATCAAGCCGCTTGAGCCTCCACTGCGCTTTGGTGCGCAAAGAGTCGCACTGATTTGAAGGTGGTATAGACGAAGGGTGGAGCAGAAGTGTAAAATCCCTTCTAGAGGGGTTATTCAATTTTTTACTTCAGTCAGTATCTGAGCCTGTTAGATCCTAGTTTAGGCCTGCAAAGGCCTTATACTTGAGCAAAAGGAGTGGTTTTCAGAACGCATCCGCTACTGCGGTTCTCAGTCAAGATGAATAAAACTAACCTCCATCGAAGTTAATTGAACAAAACAAACTTCCACGAAAATATTAAACCTGCGCAGACGCCCAAGTAATTTGTTGTAGCTCGCTGAAGAAATATAAACAGCCTATTGGAGGGAATAGGAATAGTGTTCATTTAAGTAGGATCGCGCGTAGGTCAAGAAAGGTCTGAAATGTTTCCGGAAGAATAGTGAGATACGTACAAACTCCCTTTTGAATCCGGGTCATCGGCATCTGTAGATTTTGTCGATAAGTGGCCCTTTATGTATGGTGTTGATGCCGTGTTCTCAATGAGACGTACTGACTACTTTTTAGATCAAATACTGAATTTTAGTGGTGCAACCCACTTATTATCGCCCTTTTAAAGTCATGGATTTTTACTTGGTTGCCATTAGGATGAGGGCAACTCGCGAGCCTGAGGAACCGACATGAACAGCGTGTAGCTTAATCTGTACAATATACGTACTCAACGATTCCGAAAGATCCAGAACTGTACGTTCTACCTATCAACACTTCAACTCGCCTGCAAACTTCTTCAAATTCGACATTTCTGTCCCTTCTGAGTGCCTTGTTATATATTTGGCGCAATTGGCTCCCGTGGGTGAGGGAGGACCCGTAAAACGTGCGTCGGATTCACAAAAGCGCTCATTTTAGGAATAAGCCAAGGGAAAAAGGGAACCAAGTTAAATAAGCCATTCTCATTCTCCCCGGAATTCGTCCCTC